GAGCCAACTCATTGGGTTGGCTCGTAACCCGGCTAAAATGAGCCGGGTTGAGTTAGTAACTCGAGTTAGGCCGACTCGTTTCAGCTCGAAACAAATCAAGCCAACCCATGGGTAACGGGTTGGCTCGCAAGTTTTGGTTTTTTTAATATAAAAGTATAAAAATTAATGAAGGTAAAGTGGAAAGCTAAAACCTAAAATCCCAATTCCAAAGACCCAAACAAAAATACCCTGCAGCTGCCAATAAGTCCAAAACCGTGCATTAAAGACTTTTTTTATAATATGTGTGACAGTGTGAATGTGGTGTCAACTGCCAATAAGTCCAAGTCCAAATGCAAAATTTTCTATGGTTTATCTGTATAATGTCTTTGTATTGAATGAATTAATAATTTAGAAAAAAAATTTAGAAGTTATAGCATTAATGGAATTTTTTTTTCATTTTTTCGAGCCAACCCGCGAGCCAACCATAACCCGACTCGGGTCGGGTTAGGTTGAGTTTTCTGGCTCATTTATTTTTCGAGCCAACCCTAACCCAGCTCATTTTTTTCGGGTTGAACGTGGGTTGGGTCGGGTTGAGCTGGGTTGGCCCGTTTTGCCAACCCTATAATGAATGATGTGATAATATTTTCGCTGCTGCAAATTTTTGAGACTTGATATTTTGGCTCATTGTAGGAGTTCAAATTGTTTATTTTCACATAGACCTTAAATAACATGGGTTTATCATTGAGAACATTCAGCTCTTCTGGATAATGCTCCAAATCAGCACCCTATAAAAAAATGTCTTTCAATAAAATTTTAACAAATTGAAATACTATGCAGAAGAATGCCCCCGTGTAGAGAAAATATGGAGTTATTAGAACCAAACCCGCTTGAAATGTTGTTCGCATAATTCAGCAACACTAACTCCCAATAAAGAAACACAGTCTCTATCGAACAGTACAAAAGAAGCAAAATTTGTGTTATCAACAACTGTGACTTGAACACTAAACCTTAAACAAATTAACAATTGTAATTTCTCTCAGTAACACATCACAAAGTAATGATTTTTTTTTTAAAAAGCAAACACAAAACTTCGTACTTTGGATAATATTCATCCCGATGTTTCTAAAAGTTCTTATAATACTACTTTTCAAAATCTTCACAATTAGAACATGGACATTTCTTACAGGACTTGTACCACCAGTTGTATTTGCTTTTAATCGACTTAATAGTTCCATAAGTAATGCACGTAGTAACCTCACTGCAATTCTTAATATCACTAATAAACTTCCTTTATGTATCTTTTAGAAAATCGTTTTCAAAAGAATATGAGCATTGGCTGGACAACTGAGTCAACCTCTGGCTACTTTTGATCGAATCAGATGAAAGCCTAAAACATAAAAATATATTCAACAATCGGTGCATACAGTAAAAGCAATGGACCAAAGAAGAACATAATGTACTCCAAATATGAGCATTATATATACTCCCTATGCATACTCTTTTATGTGCATGCATGTTATCAAAATGTTCAATTGAAGTGGTTGAATACCTATGTTACCGCAATAACATGCATGCACATAAACTTACATGTTTTAACGTTTTCTTATTCTTAGAAAATGATTGAACTTCAGTATCATAGTCAAGTCCTTCCAAAGTGAGCTATTAAAGTTACAGGAATTGGCCAACAATGCCAATAAGATCAAATGAGAATAAACATACAGTTCCACAGAGAATCCCCCAAACGGGATCATACCGGGAAAATGAAAGAGTATAAAAAAAAAGCTAGTAGTTGCCTAGAATTTTGTTAATATACAATGAAATAAAGTTTGAAGCCAGAATAATATGCATCAGAGAGGAAACTGAAGGAGTATCTAGAGAAGAATTGATACTGACCAACCATTCTTTATGACCCTGGAAGCCCTCTTGGTTAAGCCTCTTTACAGCAACAATCATGCCAATTCCTGGTTTGGTAGCGGCAAGTGAATGCTCATCAATCCAGCCCTTAAAAACAGAACCAAAGAAGAACAAAATCGTGCACTTATGATGTATACCAAAGGGCAATTTGCAGCACAACACATCTTTTGTATACCCATAATAATTAACAAGTAATTTTTTTTTGTAAAAATTAATAGACATAACAATTACCCACGCAAAACAAAATGGAGTAATCAGTACAACTACATGCAACAAATGATATTTTAAATTTAAAAATTTTCCGCTTATTTGAAGTTTAAATTTCAAATTGAAATTTGATAAGCTCATTAATACAGTTGTAAGCCACTAAGAAATTTTAAATGTGAAATATTATCCCACCTATTTTTGATATTTTAATTTTTGAATAATAAAAAGTTTCTAAAAGAAGTAACATTTCAAACTGATTTTAAGTGTGAACAAAAACCTGAGAATGAAGGAGAGAGCGACATGTCAGCAAAGTTTCCAAAGTTTGGATCAACTTTCTATATATTAAGATGTTACTTATTGTTTCCGTTGAAAGAGTTGTTCACAATTAGTATAGACATGTGTTATTTTTTTTATTTGAACAATTTTTAATAAAAATTTATAATCATTTATTTTGGCGGGTCAACCCGCCAATCCAACAATTTTTTGGTGATATGCGGGCCAACCTGTCAACCCACCTTAAAACAGGGTGGGTTCAATTTTTTAACCCATCATCCAATGGCACCTGATACGGGATACGTGACACGTTAATTCTTGACACCTGCTGTAAAAATAACATACACGACATGACACGCGACACGTTAATTCTAAACAATGTCATATTTTGATACGTTAGGACACATTTTGATATTAAATAATATTTTTAATATATATAATATAATTTATATTTAATACATATAACAGCCCATAATAAGTCTATAACTAATAAAATATTCAAATTTCATAATATAAATATAAACAAAATTAATTTTTTGTACACTGTTAATTTTACATGTTAAATTTCATAACAGAAAAAAATTGATTTATAAATTATTTTTTCATGTTTAGTTAATAAAATAAAATTTAGACTTAAAAAAAAAACGTGTCGGATGCGTGTCGAAAGGTTGAATGTGTGTCAGAAAAGCGTGTTGGAACGTTGACTGTATATCCTAAAATGTTGACTGCATATCGGACACATGTGGGAACGTATCATCAGTGTTCGACACGTGTCCGATATGCATCTTTTCAAATTTTTTGCGTGTCCGTGGTATGTTGGTGGTAGCCTATCTTCAGACCGATTCTTAGCGTTGTATTAGATTTCTGAGCCGTGGTTGGAGTCAATCATGAGTTTTAAAAAATGGTTTGTAAATAACTGTTGTTGAAAATATCTCTAGAGGTGTCCCACTGTTGTATAACTCTCTTTTTTCTACTTTATGTTTTAATAAAAATATTTTACAACTGGCTATAATTTATTTTGTATAACTCTTTTATTTGTCAGTGTTAAGCAAAATCTTTCTCTAATTTTAGTTATACAAGGTCTCAAAATAAAAAATAGTTGACTATAAAAGCTTTAAAAAATTTCAGCCGAAAAATAAAGAGGACTTTTTTATCTAAATTTTTAAACATTTGACTCATTTAAATTTTTTGAGAAATTATTTACTAATCTAATGCTAAAAGATGCGCATCTGGTAATGAACATTTAAGTTGCGCATTAACCCGTACGCAACTTATATAAAAACCAATGCGAGCCTGTTATGTGTTGCGCATAGGATGTATGCGATCGAAAATAAGGAGGGCTTTTTGACCTGAATCAGCAACATTTTACCCATTTTATTCTTTTGACAAATTATTAAACAATCTAATACAAAATGATGCACATCCTAGCAGTATACATTCAAGTTATGCATCACTCTATATGCGATTTGTGCAAAAGTCAGTGTGCATATGTTATGTGTCATGCATGCAAGACATGCATGGAGTTTGTGCAACTTGAATGTGTATAAGAGTGATAGGTGTCTTGTAGAGCGTAACACATGACATACATTGATTCTTGTACAAGTAACGCAGGGGGATGCACAACTTAAATGTGCACCCCATGTACGTTTCATGCATTAGCTTAGTTTTGTGCAACTTAATAATTTATGACTAACTCCTCACACACAATACAAGAACATTTGTTTTGACATATTGTTGAAAGTCTGTCTTCCCTCCTTGTTGGCTGAATTATAAACTAGTGTGCAAGTTGAAGAGCACTACTCATATATAGGCCATAGTAGTAGTGTTGTTGTACTTGTAAGTCGTAACAATGGAGACAAGTGTTGATGCTGAGGCTTTTTCACAGGGCAGTGAACACCCCCCACTCATGGCGGGATATATTGTCCTTCAGTTTAGACTATCATGGCTAGTTGTGTTAATCAGTATCATTCACTCGAACTAGACCACCATTTTTTTCCCATTAAAACTCGTTTTCTCTCTGAATTCTTATGAGCAACTATCTGGCATAAATTTCTACAGTCGAGGGGTTACAGGTTTTGGAGTCTTGGAATGAAGTTCTGATGAATTGCGTTCAAAAGCTTTCTCTTGTGCATTGCATCGAAGTATAATAGGGCCATACTTCACCATTCTTTAGGACCACATCGAAAACTAATCGGGACTTTAACTGATTTAAATGTTATTGTCACACAACAGCGATTGCCAAGTTCAAAAGATTCTAAACCAACAAAACTCAAGAACTTCCTGGGCTTGGCATTTTTCAGTCCGGTTCTTTTATATTTTAAATCAGCAACAATTTTTTTATTTTTTTTGATAGCTATAGGCAACATTTAAAGTTAACACTGATACACCTAATGATTTTCCTCAATATTTATTTACGCATTTTTTATTTATAAATTCATTTCTCTTCATACATTAAATTTATAAATTAAGTTTGAATAATATATGAACTGGATATTTCTTTCGTTTTTTCACTAAAAAGAAAAATAAAATAAATAAAAAAAGAGGTTTTTTCCCATTAAAAATTATTTCTCATACTCTTTATCTTATGACCTTCTTCAATCCTCTTTTCATTAAACCAAAGTAACACAATGGATCAACAACTCTTATCAGACAAAAGCTTTCCACTCTTCAAAACAACTCGCAAACCCTCCAAAAACCCCTCAACCGCCGCCGCTACCGCCGTAAAAAACCCTAACTCCCACGCCGAAGGTCACGAAAACCACCAAGACACCTCCACCGTCGCTGCCACCACATTCGCCGATCTCGGACTCTCCGAATGGGTGGTGAAGACCTGCAAGGAGCTCGGAATGCGGAAGCCGCGGCCCGTGCAGTCCACGTGCATCCCGAGGGTCCTGGAGGGCCGCCACGTGTTCGGCATCGACGAGACCGGTAGCGGCAAGACCGCCGCGTTCGCCCTCCCGATCCTCCACCGCCTCGCGGAGCATCCGTTCGGGGTCTTCGCCCTGGTCGTCACGCCCACGCGCGAGCTAGCGTTTCAGCTCGCGGAGCAGTTCCGCGCCCTCGGCTCCTCCCTTCACCCCCGCATCTCGGTGGTGGTCGGAGGCATGGACATGCTCAAACAGACCAAGGAATTGGTCGCTAGGCCTCACCTCGTTATCGCCACCCCTGGGAGGATCAAGCTCTTGCTCCAAGATAATCCTGATATTCCTCCCATTTTCTCTAGAACAAAGGTAATGATGAATTCATGATGATTATGGTGTTTTTTTTTTTTAATTAATGTTGTAGAGTTTTTTTTTTTTTTTTTTAGTGTTCGAATGCAATGAGATAATCCTGATTCATTGATTGATTGACAGTTCAAGACTTTTTAATTGGAGATTTTTTTGAATAAAATGGAGAAAAACTTATACTTGGAGTGTGTGGAGGGAATTTGGAATACGTGAGTTTGATAGATGATTATCATTTGGAAACGTTGCGGGTTTAGTCCTCAAGTTTTTGTTTGATAGGGAGTAAATTGGCAGAATGATTTCGATGACTGCGTGAACTCGAATGGTACTAAGAAATCATTGATAGAGTTCAATTTCATGTCCTGCATTTTGGCCTTCTTTAATTAATAATAATGATGATGCCTCTATGACTCCTGGTATAATTTAATTATATTAGTCTTTTTTGTTTAATTAAGCTATTAAAAATGAAGAAAAATAGAAGAGTGGCTGGCTGGCACAATGACAAAATGCTTATGAGATGAAATTACGGGGGACGCTTATGTATAATCTTCTATTTCATGAAACCCTTGCCATTGGCCTTCTGAAATTATATTATAGTTTTATGACATCCTGTGTCATCATTAGGACTGAAAAGACATATGTAGCCTTGGTTAAAGTTTCTATATGATGAGTGATGACTTGGTGAGTGCTGCTAACTGTTTTATAGGTTCTAAACTGTCATCTTTCCCTTTTCTTTTTATTCTCAAGTAGGTGAGCTGAAAGGGTAACTAGCAAGTTTGAGGGAAGTATTAAAAATTTTAGGGTTTCCACTATTTATCGAAATTTGGCAGGAATTAGCTTCCAGTTTATTACAAACTTATAGAGGCTTCCTGCTTACCCCTTTTGCTGGTAAATGTTAAAATAGTTTTCTTTGCATATATCTGTAATCAAAATTGCATGTTGTATGCTTAAACAATATTCCTTTGTCTTCATAATTCTATGATTTAGTATTTGACCTATACTGCTGCAGTTCCTTGTCTTGGATGAAGCAGATCGAGTCCTGGATGTTGGTTTTCAGGAGGAATTGAAAGTTATCTTTCAGTGCTTACCAGAAAATCGGCAAAACCTGTTCTTTTCTGCAACATCAACAAGTAATCTGCAAAAGTTGCGTGAACGTTACCAAGATAAGCTTTATGTCTATGAAGCATATGAAGGCTTAAAAACAGTTGAGACACTTGAACAACAAGTTATATTCATCCCTAAAAAGGTGAAGGAAGTATATTTGATGCATATTTTGTCTAAAATGGAAGATATGGGCATTCGGTCTGCCATTGTATTTATCTCCACATGCAGGTATCATTCTGGGTGACATGTTTGAATTTTCATAACCAATTTTTGTTGTCTGCATTATTGTGTGTTATTCATTTTTCTTCTCATAGGTCCATAATTGGGTGCTATAGGTTCATGTTCCCACTTTTAGTTAATATTAATACTCTAGTTTGCATTCCCTCGTTTCTCTATGGACAATTGATAGCCAATATCAAAGTTTTACCTTTGATTACTTTTCTTCAATAAATGGTCAGGCTGTTTGTTTTTTTGTTAACTTCCCCACCGACAGTGAAGAAAAAAAGAAAAAGAATCTCATTATAATATTGGTATGATGGAATATGATTTTATTAATTATTGTGTTCATTTCTTTTCTTTTTTTTTCAATTTAGAGTGGATTTTATAAGTTTCCTCCATCTCTTTGTTTCTGAAGGACAAGAAACACATATTGGAGCTTCAGGCTGTAGACTCTAAGTCTAATTGAATGTGTTTGTGGCCTGTTGGTATAGTTCTGTGTGATGGCCAATGGTTTTTTGTCAGTGAGATTGCCTCAGTAAATAAAAACAAGTTGTTATGTACCCAAAAAAAATTGAGTTGCAGTCTGACATTGGAAATTTGGAATTATATCTTGTTAGTTAGCGGGTGGTAGGGACTGAAATGATGTGGTCTCTGCTTGTTTGAAAATAGAAATTGGGCGCATATGGAATTCTCACTTAAAATATGGGATGCATGTTTTTCAGAAGAAAATGGAGGCCATGGATTAACATTAATATTTGAAATGAATTAGTTTTAGTTGATTGGTGATCCAAAACTTATTTTTTGTATATCTTAGAGGCTTACCTTATTGCTCTGTTGCTTATACTACGAATGGTTGAAGCATATTATAATGGAGGATTTGGTAGAATAATCTTTGGTTCTATTTTGTCTGCTGTTATTGTTTATCTCTTTTGGTTAAGTTTGAATCAGTTAAAGATAAAAAGGTGCATTTACTTGTATTTTAAGACAGTTTTGTTAGACTCAGATTTCAAGAAGTAAAAGTGCAATGGTTAAGCCAAAATTAGTGGAAGTGGAAAGTTATAGGCTGGAAATCTGAGGCTGTTTGCTTAGCATGTACTGGCACCTTTCATCAATCAATGAGGAATATTTCAAGATGTCATTTATATGGAACCATTTAATAATTGTGACTGAATCTCAGAGATCTTAGTTTTGGCAATTTCATTAAAAAATTGTTCACCTATTATTAATTTGCCAGGTCTGATAATAGTTGATAAAAGATGTGTTCATTGACTTTGCTGGCTATTCTTCTTTCGCTAGAAAGGTTCTTTGTTTTTTTACGTACTGTGTGTGGGATTGATAGTAACTAATTACTTTTATCTATAGTTCTTGTTGAATTTATAGGATTTAGGTAAGGAAGGAGAAAAAGGAGAGAATAGAGACTCAGAATAATAGGATATTGAATTTATATGGTGTATTATGATACAAAAGATAAAGCACTAATCTCCATTTATACTAGTAAATAGGAATTTGGTTAAGTTCTAGACTCCTAACCTTAATCAATTAAAGGAACAAATAACTAAGGATAATATAAAATCCCTAACAAGAAGATAAGGATCCTAAAAAGACAAGATCCCTAAAAATTAAGTACCACAATTATCTCTAAAATAACATAAATTATCTGAATTTATTATGCATTCTCTTCCTCTAATTATTTTGCAGATGTTCTATGTTTCTAACAGTTCCCAATTTGCAGAGATTGTCACCGTTTAAATTTAATGCTGGAAGTGCTTGATCAAGAAGCTGCAGCTCTATATTCATTCAAATCACAGACTCAGAGGCTTGATGCACTTCATCAATTCAAATCAGGAAAGGTTTCTATACTACTAGCAACTGATGTTGCCAGCCGTGGCTTGGATATTCCTACAGTTGATCTAGTTATCAATTTCGATGTTCCAAGGTACCTTTCCTTGCTAATTTCTGTATTTACTTGGTTGACTTTTGAAGCATTTGATGAAATGGATTTGAACTATTCATTTACAGGTTTCCACGTGATTATATTCATCGTGTTGGCCGTACTGCAAGAGCAGGAAGAGGAGGACTTGCTTTGAGCCTTGTCACCCAGGTAAACCCAGTTTAGAAATAATATTAAAACTTATATATCTCTTTCTGTTGTTTGGATCTAAGTATTCCTGCATAGTATTTGAAATAATTTTTGGTAAGTATCTTGTTTTTTTTCTTGTAATTCTTAGTTTCTTGGGTTGACTTGGCTGCTGTTTTTCGACCATTGCATATATGGAACATTGCTTCTCCTTCCACCATATATAGTGATTGTCACAAGCCAAGAAAATTGAATTTCCTGGAGCTTAATTTTCTCCTTTTTCTTTTCTATATTTTTGTTTGTGCGTATGTGCATGTGTTTTGTAGAGGGCAGTGATGGCAAGAATAATTCTCTAACATACAAAATAAGCTTTCAAATGTATAAATATATTCAAATAAGATGAGGAAAAATAAAAGTTTATGCTTGGCAAATTAAATGACTTGCTGTTGCCATTTATTCTCAATGTTGTGTCCAGCTTGGCTCCTACATTAGCATTAACAGTGACCGCAAGGCATTTAACATGCCAACCAGACATTACATTAAGCATTAACAGTGACAGCAAGGCATTATATATCTTTCAGGTTGTAAATTTATGAAACTGAATTTTGGGGGACCAAATTGTTTATTGAAGCATCTTTGGAAAATGAAAGCAGGATTTTACTCTCAAATGAAAGCATGGTCCTTTGCTCATCTTTAGTCGTTAAATTGGAAGCTTGTGTTTTTGACTGTAAAAAATGGGGCATGTGTCATGCAAGTAAACAAAGATTTCTTTGCTTCTATCATTTCTCTCTACCTTTTCCTTTTTCCGTATATGTGTTGTTGCACATCTATTCAGACATCTTTACCTTTTTTTTTTTTTAATTTTATTCTTTTTTTTGGGGGGGAATAATGATAGCACCTACTGGAAATTATCTAATGCCTTCACCACTAATCCATTCCTAGTTACTTTGGCAAGTTCCCTATTTTATTCACATCTGAGTGATGGCTTCAAGGCATCCATGTATATTCATGTGGTCTCCACGTTTGTAGAGCCATTTTAGGATTGCATTGATTTCCTTATCAAGTCGCTATTTGAATTTGGCATTTGCAGAATGATATCGATCTTGTTCGTGAAATAGAAGCTCTTATCGACAGGCAACTAGAAATGATTGAATACAAAGAAAATGAGGTGTTATCTCTCATGAAAAAGGTATGATTTTATGGGCTGAATTTTTGGTGTTCTGAACGGAATGGATATTTGATATTATTTTTATATTTTATTTTTTGTGTCTTCATGGTTGTGGCTTTTTTCAAGTATGAGCTAAGCTGCTGCTGCTTTTAAAATTCTCAATTGTCTTATATACTTTGATGTATTGTAGGTTTTCAGTGCTAAGAATGTGGCAGAAATGAAGATGATGGAAGATGGCTTTGACGAGAAAGCAAAGGAGCGGAAAAAACAGAAACTGAAAATGCTATCAGAGAAAGGATTGTTAAAGAAAAGAAGTAAAAAGAGAAAAAGAAATAAAGAATTTGCAGAGGAAGGAAAAAAACAGAAAAAAGTGGAGTTGGAAGCATCAGCAGACGCAGCATCACTAAAGAAAATAAGTAAGAAGAGACAGTAAATTAGTACATTTGAGGAATTAGTACTTTAAAAGAACAGATTCTTTAAGCACGGGAAGGATAATTGGAGAAAAAAGGCTTCAAAAGAGACAAAATTCAAAGCCAAAAGATGAGGAGAGTTATGAGTAAAGAAGCGGACGTAGAGGAGAGTTATAAGTAAAGGGTAGTAATGTTTTGGCAAGTAATAACAGTGGCACACAATTTGGAGTTGTATTCATATCTTCCCAAGCTGACAGGTTTTGATTTGTCTGAATAGGTTAGACTAACTCAACAAAATTACACTTCACATGTGAATGGTGTGCGATTTTGGTTAATAAGATCTTATATTATAGGTTGAATGCGTTGTAATATCAAATGATTCAGATTTTGACACAACAAATTCGTGCCATTGTTTTACTATATGTTTTGTTTTTTCATGTGATTTTGATTGTATTATATTATATCTTGGCTTCCTTCTTTTTGGGAAGGGAAATCAATGGTGGACAATTATTAATTATTCATCTCTTGAACCTGAACGATTGCACATGTTACATTTGTTATTGTTTTCAACTTATCAAGTTCAAGATTTCAATTTGTCGGGCCTCTAGTTTTTATTTTTTATTTTGTTTTTTATTTTAATTTCTTTACTTGATTATTAATTATCGGATTAATTTGGTTGGATGTGAATGGAACCTATGATGCACGGACACTGACACGGGACACGACACGACACGCCGACACGTTAATTCTAAAAAATTGAATATTTCGACACATTGGGACACATTTTGATATTAAATAATATTTTTAATATATATTAAATAATTTATATTTAATAGATATAACAGTCCATAATAAGTCATATAATCAATCAAATATTCAAATTTCATAACATAAATATAAACAAAAATAATTTTTTGTACCTTGTTAATTTTTATGTCAAATTTCATAACAGAAAAAAATTAATTTATAATTTAATTTTTTTTATTTTTAATTAATAAAATAAAATTAAGACTAAAAAAAAAAAAATGTGTCCGAGCGTGTCCGACTGTTGCCCACGTGTCCGAAAAAGTTGACTGCGTGTCGGAAAAACGTGTGGGAGCGTGTGAGAGAGTTGACCACGTGTTCTAAAATATTAACCACATGTCAAACGCGTGTCGGAGCGTGTCCGATACGCAAAATTTTCAAAATACAGAGTGTCCGGGTTTCCTAGTCCGCCACAACTTTGATCCTATATGTTTTTGTATTGCATGTGTATGCAGGAAGAGTGTGTTTGTTTGCCTTTGTTTCGCTTTTATTTTTCTTGTTCCCATTCTAGTGTCAACCTCAAACTGAGAATTATATATATACCTTGAATTATTTGACTAAGGTATAGTGTTTTGGTCTTTAGTGTTTGGTGGAGTTCATTCAAAAATCATTCATAAGAATTAATTTTATTTTTGACAAAGAATGATATATAATTGATTCATTAAATTATGAACAATTCTTTGGTTAATAAGTGTTAGAATTCCAGGCAGAATCTATTTATTATAGTTTAATAAGGTACATTATCTTAATAGAAATCCAAGGGGAGTGTTATAAATAATATTATTGAGGATGTCCATAACTCCCAAAAAAATGTGTAACTTTTGTAACTTCTAATAGGGTTGGCAAAAATGAGCCAACCCATTGAGTTGACTCGTAATCCGTAAAAAATGAGCCGAGTTAGGTTAGCAAAAATGAGCTGCCAACCCGACTCGAGCCAACTCGGGAAAAAATAAGCCAACCAGCGGGTCAAACGGCTCAGCTCGCGGGTTGAGTTTTCTTTTTTTATTATTATAAAAAATACAAAATATAATATACAAAAATAGACAAAACTTACACATGCTGTAATCGTCTTTCTGCCTTCTCTAAACCTAAGTCTCTAATCTTTTCACATCCCTATCATTTTTATATTGTTAGGATGTGTTGGCTCTGTTTGGTTCAAATATCTTACCCACTTGGTAGCAAGTGGTTCTGATTTTTTTCTTGATGTTGGTGCAAATTTGTTGTGAAGAAAATTTAAAACTAGAATATTTTGCTTTTAATTCTCATTTTGTAACCCTTTGTTTAAGTTGATGGAAGCCACATAGCTGGTGCATCAATACTACAGGTTCATTTAAATAGGCTAAAAATGAGCTAACCCACGAGCAATTTTCGAGTCAACCTGCGAGCCAATTTTTGAGCCAACTCGCGAGCTATTTTTTCAAGCCAACCCATGAGCCATATTTTTTAGCTAAACCGCGAGCCAATCCTAATCCGACTCGGGTCGGGTTGGGTTGGGTTTTCTATACCTCTTTTTTTCGAGCCAACCCTAACCTGGCTCTTTTTTTGGGGTTGCATGCGGGTTGGGCCAGGTTGAGCCGGGTTGACCCGTGTTGCCAACCCTAACTTCTAATATGTAATTAGGAGGATTCAATGTTGTCATTTATTTTATTATAACTCATTACAGTAGAGAGTCCATGAATTGAGACTAGGTATAGATCTTGGACATTGACAACGCAAGACAATGGAAAATTATCCTTCTTTTATTTTGTCCTAATTTTTTTCTCTCTTCCTTCTCTTGCCTTTACTATATTCTAATTATCCTTTAGTTTAATAACACTTGGCACTTTTTTTATGTCAAAGAGCCCATGAATCCATATCATATAACTACAGGTGGCAAAACATGTCATAACTCATAGGTTGACCAGCGACATGACATGTCAAAATGTGGGTCATGTTGACCCGTTAGATAAAATGGGTCGTGTGTGAGTTTGGGTAAATGACACTAATTAGTATTGTGTCGTGTCACAGGTGATCCATGTATCAACTTGTGATTTTATTTTCAAAAAAAAAATTAAAATTAAAATTTTGGTGATTTTGACATACTCTGTTGCGGGTTATGGGTCAACCGTGTATTTTATTTAATTTTTTCTTTTTTTAATTTAAAAAAAATCAAATTTTCAATTTTTGAGAGTCAACTTGTGTGATCTGGTAATAAAAACATGTCATGCTTGGGTTGGACAATTTGACCCGCTAATCAGAGTACTTGACACGACACAAACCTGACCCGCCAACATACTATGCCATCCCTTCATATAATTAAGTCGTCCTTCCATAAGTTTGGAAGGAAGTGGGCTCATCTATTATTATATACTTTAATGTTGTAAAATTCACAAGTGTTGCGAAGTTAATTTTTATTCCCACAATGAAAAAAAATCTTTAGAAACGGATGATGATTCATTGTCTTATATCCTAAATGGAGACAATAGAACAATTGGTTTGTATATTGTGATTATAGTTATCACGATACAATTCATACAATATGAGGTTGAATTGGACGATACTATACTGTATCAGATGATACGATACGATAATAAATTAAATTTTTTAATTTTTAATATGAGATAGGTTATTCTACCTACCCTTATTTTGCCTACCTTTACCTATCCCTTTCAACACCGTTAGATTTCAATCTCATCCAACGGTGGATATTTACGAAATAAAATAAATATTTTTCCCCTTTCTTTCTCCTCACTTTCTCCCACACCCTTTCTCTCTGTCGATGACCAAGACAAAAAATTCATGGAATGAAAAACACATACCATCGACGATCATCATTTGAAAATCCTCACTTCCTCCAAACCACATTGTCCACAACTCAATTTTTCCCAAAAGTCAAAACATATTACGAATGAAAAAAATTCTGGGAATTTCACATCAAACCATACTAGTAACAAAAGAGTCATATGAAACATGCCCATTACTTTTGTTGTTGGATTGTATGAGAATTTTTTTAAAAGATTATTTAAAAAAATAAACACATCGAAGCAAGTACATGAACCTCTTTTACCTACAATTGGCAATACATTTGACATGGAAATTGATTCTGCTCTTTTTGTTTAGTAGATCTATAATGGTGACTAGGGGTGAAACTGGGCCAGGCCGGCCTACAGGGGCCTACGGCTCGTCCTGGCTAGACCTGACCTAGTATATTTTGTATAATAGGTCGGGCTCGGGCCTTAAAAAAGCATGTTTAATAAAAAGGTCGTAGGCCCACTTTCAAAAGACCGAGTCTATAAGCCTACATGCCGGCCTATATTGTACTTTTTATTTTAAATAAAATAAAATAAAATAGAGTAAGTATGTCTTGAAGAAAAAAAAGATATAAATTTAATCAATTACAATTATTTATAACTTAATCATATTCGATTATATTTTAATAGAAATCTTACTTTATTTCTTATAAAGGAGGAACCAACATCTTAACATGTTAGATTGTGTATATGAATATATTAAAAAAATTTGGCAGAGGTTATACTTACTACAAGCATCTTGATATGTTTGTTGGATTGATGTAGTTATTTTAATTTACATAGTATGAATTTGTTTGTTGGATCTGATGAAATATATGTTATTTAATTTGAGCATTTTGCTTTTGAAAATGACTTAAATGCATATTGTATTAGTTTTGTTATGATTCATGATTCTGTTTGGACGTTGAAATTATGATTTTTGGTGTAGCAACAGAATTTGAGTACTTTGTAAAGTTGATTCATGGTTCTGTTTGGAAGTTAAAAATTAACAGGCTAACGGGCCAAGTCAGGCCATTTATTTTTTTCATAAACGGGCCAAACCAGGCTAACAGTTAGACTCATACTAGGCTTGGGCCGGGCCAAATTAAAATTTTTTGACGTAGGCTTGGGCATTTTGGGGCAAAGCTCGGCCCAGCCCACTTTCACCCCTAATGGTGACCCAAGTTGAGTATGCAATTGTCGTAGTAACTAGTAAAATCGATTGGGACAAATTAAAGAAGAACAAGATCAGAAGTCATGGTACGTAAGTCATGTTTATGACAAAGGAAATTCAGCAATCCAACAATTTATTAGATTTTGTTCTCCCGTGGGCAGAGGTGTTCGACCGTAAGTTGGTTGTTTGATGTTGGATCTATAGCTTTCTCTCTAGATACCTATGGATTAGGTATCTTGGGGACAACAAATCACTACACACAGTACGATGGCCTTAGCCTGAAGGGGTGTGTGTGTGCGCTGTCGTGTTTGAAAGAAATAGGGTTAGAGAGATCAGCCATACCTGTGGTCTTTAGCCCCTATTTATAGAGCTTACCTTTGGGCTTGTGTAGGTTGGGCTTCTTGCTGTCGTGGGTCTTTCTCTGGTCTATAACAGTTGCCCCCTAGCCCGGTAGACTGAGTCTTTAGGTTGCCGGGATGTCCAAGTCAAGTCGATTGTTGTGCTTTTAGCTCGGATGTTGGTCACCTGGCTGGTTTGTTATTTCGGCTTCCCCACTTGGCTTCGAGAAGGAAAACTTTCCCTGGTTTTTACAAGCATATTTGCATCCGGGATGTTCTACAAAAGTTTTCATCCGGGTTACGTTGCCGGGTTTTAGGGCATGCGACCCTCTTAGACTAGAAACTCGGTCACTCATTTCGGCAGCATGGAGAATGGTTGT